AAGGCTTACTTTTTTCATTTTTTTAATTTCATTTTTTTTCAAGTTAACCATAGTTTGTCGTTCTTTAATTAAAAATGGCATTCCATGAAATAAGCAGCTGGTTCAGCTCGCAACTCCATCATGCAAGTGCTTTTCCTCTCGAAAAGCCACTGAACTTTGATACATAGCAGAAGTGCTTTACTTCTTTTCTTTCTATGTACCATTCTGTCACACAGGATATTTTAAAGATGTAAACTCAAGAGTTTATGATTAATAAAAATAATTTTTACTACCTTATTCAAGACATCGTTATGTGAAACTGGGCATTTATCTGGAAGTGTGGCAATAAAAAATATAGTTGGATGCTGCTAACTCGATTCAAACTAAGGCACAAGCCGTTTTACCCACCATTGCTTTTGTACCATCAGTGCAATTATCAACACAATGAAAAAGGCAAACAATATCTTAGAATTTTTATGAAAATGCATTTGGACTTAAAGGGTATCTAAAGGGTCTCGGGCCCCCAGGGCTCTGCAGATCACAGTTTTGTAACTATTGGTAAAGATGTCAGTAATAGTTCACCTTTATTAAACCTATAGTATGTGCCGTCCATGGTTATATGCATTAATTAGTTTAATCATGAGATATTCAGGTATATGAAGAGCCTAACACAGTCCAGAAAATGTATCCTTTTTAACTTCTGGACTCTGGTACATTTTGGCCGCTCTGCTGCTGATGCATGGGAGCTAATTAAAATCTGAAGAATTTTCAGTAGCATTGCTGCTAGGGGTATAAACCTCCATTTTCTCAGTCCCAAAAGTGTTTAGACCTTGAGAAGTTCATTGACTCTGCCTGGGTTTGCTTGGCGGGTCCTGAGTCTCTAGTATATGTCAGATGACAAAATATGCTGTGCTTTTCGTGGCTGCTGAAAATGTCCCCTTCTGCCCCTCTCCCTCTGAATTTTATTTCTTTCTGTAGTTATTGTTTCTCTCACTTACTGCACCTTGGTTTCACAGTTCAAAACATTGTACAATACACACGGCTTTAAATGTCAGGCCTTCCATGGAATTACATCTGCCTGTCAGCAGCGCCGCAGTAGGTCTTGCCTCCTTTTCTGACAGAACCTGGGGGCTCCTTTCTTTTTTTAAAACTGCACTTTAGCTTGGTCACACATAAATATTTATCCCATTCTCTGACACTTACTTTGAAGGCTTGCCTGGACAGAGAATGGAGTGGAGGCTGTTTGCTGCTCCCTGCTTTGAGGCTAAAATGCTGTTTCCTTTCCCATTTGCCCTCTAGTGAGGTGTTTGGCTTTACATGCTCTCTAGGCCATAAATATTTATTTGGATTTTCGAGTCAGTGTGAGGCTAAGAGCTTACCCAAATCCTGAATTAATCTGAAAGCCAGGTTAAGGGAAACTAGTATGTACTTGGTTTTATTATGATTCTGTAAAATTCTCTGTTGAAAAGAAGATGGTCCTTGAGCAGATTAGTAATTCCAGCAGATCTGATTATTGCTTTTCAAGCGTGGCAGGGGCTGGCATAGCATGTATTACATCTGCAGAGAATTGTTTTGTTAGTCGTGAGAACTATAACTCTTTCAAGCCAAAGTATATGTTTTAGAGGAAACTGTACTGACAGGACTAGAAAAACTCAAATTGGGTCCAAGGGTCTACCTTTTTGTCTTGCTTTCATTCTTACTACACAAGTAATAAGAGTGCATCCATACGTATTTGTGGTTGTCTCTGATGCTGCCTTTGTTGTGCTGCATGCCTGGTGCCCTGGGCTCCACAGTTGCTGCCCTCTGCACTACCAAGCCTGCCCCACCGCTCCAGCAGCACCCGGGTCCTGTGCCCGGCCCTTTGTGCTGCTCAGTGTGCATGTGTGTGGCGTCCGCATGGCAGCCTGGCCTCCTGCAGCCTCCTAGGCCCTGTGCCTGTGGCTACAGCGGCTGCATGCTGTACACCGAAGGAGACAAAACTTCCGTTGAATTCCTGAGTGATGAAATTAAGGAGGAAAGGGAAATCCAGAAGCATAAGAGGCATTCCCTCCCTAAGAGGGCTGGAAGTTGGGAGCTAGAATTTAAATGGAACAGACGCTAAATGAATATGGCAAGTTGCCAGAGGAAAGATCTCTGTCATTTTAAACATTATCAGTAGCATCTCACCCACATCTGATGGTGAGGAGGAGCCCTCACAAGGGCAGTAGGTTGAAGAACAGGATTCTGAATTAACATCAATTCCCAGTTTCATAGCTGAAGTTATGAAGAATGATAGCAAGAAGGTCCTGGTGCTGACTGGCACTATCAGAGGATGAGTTTGGACAAGAAGAGCAGGTAGAGAGTAACATTTTCTCCATCAAGGAAGTTAGCTTTCAGTCCAATGGCAAGTCTGAATGGAAGGACACTAGTACACACTTGACACAGAGTCGCCGGACTAGGCCTTGTATTTTTTCCTTGAGGACCAAGGGGTGGACAGCGCTTTTGTGGATGGGTTGGTGCAGCTCAGCCCAGTTCTGGAGCACGAGGAGGACGTTACTTTTCTTGAAGATCTCAAAGTTTTGTCAAGAACCAGCAGAGTAGACAGCTACTGAAAGCCTCAGTTTTATGGCAGACTTTGGCCAACCAACAAATCCTACTGTGAAATCCTACTGTGAAATCCTACTGTGAAGCCAGGCACTATCATCCTAATACCATGAAAAAAAGAGCAAATTTAAATTATTTCTTTTGTGCTCTCATTTACTATTCATTTGTTTTTTTCTGTACAAATCTATTGTTACTAGTTTTTTTTTGTTTTTGTTTTTGTTTTTTTCGTTTTATTTTTGAGATGGAGTCTCTCTTTGTCGCCCAGGCTGGAGTGCAGTGGCGTGATCTCGGCTCACTGCAAGCTCCGCCTCCCAGGTTCACGCCATTCTCCTGCCTCAGCCTCCCGAGTAGCTGGGACTACAGGTGCCCGCCACCATGCCTGGCTAATTTTTTGTATTTTTGGTGGAGATGGGGTTTCACCATGTTAGCCAGGATGGTCTCGATCTCCTGACCTCATGATCTGCCCACCTCCACCTCCCAAAGTGCTAGGATTACAGGCGTGAGCCACTGCGCCCAGCCTAGATTTTTAAAATAATAGGACAGACAATAAAATTAGGGTTTCTCCTCCAAAATATATACATGTGAATTAACTAGGAGATGCAGGAACTTTTATATGTGGACTCTGAGGAAACAGGCTTCTGACAAGGAGTCCAGCATAGCCCTTAAATAGCTTTGCCCCTAGAGGATACAGATATTATCTAATCTAGCAGGTATTAGTCGGCAGTCCCTGCCTAGTGAGATCTCTTAAGAACGTCTTTTAACTGTGCTTCTCTCTGACTTGGGTGTCCTTTTTTAAGGTTTTCAGTTTATGTCTCCTATCTGAATCTAACACACCCACAGGGTTGATAGACACAGCAGTAAGTTAAATTAATCCTTTACATCTAGGTCTCTTTTAAAGCTTGGTAACTGAGTTCTATTTTTATAACCTTACGATGAGCCAAGACTGTATATAGAGCAGACATCTGCCATCTATAGTGATATGGAGTAGAAACCTCGACTATTAGAGATGGCATGGGCTACCAGACGCACTGATCTGTTTACTCCCCTTTCTTTCCTTGATTGACTGAGTGACCTTCATTGTCCCCTTGGCTCTGCCTGGCCTGAATTAAGGATCTTCCTGCCATCCATACCTTGTAGGACTGTGATATGCAGTGCCAGAGTAGGATGCATTTGTGATTTAGCAGCAGCATGGCTCACCTCTGTCATCTTCTGGAAGTGTGGATGGTATGGGAAGGGGTGAGCAGTGCTTTCCCAGCCATTCCAGCAGGTCCCCTTCCTCCTTTACCTCCTATGCCAGTGCCAATCAGCAATTTTCAGGGGCTTTTTAGTCTGACCTCTGAAGGTTCCACAGCTGTTCTTAGTCCCAGTTCAGTGATCTTTCCTTTACTTGTATAGACAGTAAAATTTCTGTAAAATCAGTATCAGCCCCAATAAATTCTGAATTCAAAGGCATTGTGGTTTTTATTCTCTTGATGCTTATGAAAGGAGTCCAAGATGCAGTGTCAGCTGACTCTTGCCAAAGATACGGTGCAAAAAACCTAGTCAGATTCTAGGATGATGGTCAGATGTGCCATTGTAAAGCCTTTAGAGCTGTTCTCTCAGCCCAGCATGGATGCAAATATTGTTTAATCAAAACAGAATGGTTAACACCCTCAACTCATAATTGGGATATTCTTTTATTATTATATAACCGATTTATTTGTCTTTTGATGATATATTCTACTTCTGTGCATGTCATATCCAACCCTTAAAATACAATTTTTTTTTTTGTTTTTTTGAGACAGAGTCTCACTCTGGTGCCCAGGTTGCAGTGCAGTGATGCAGTCATGGCTTACTGCACCCTCAACCTCCAAGGCTCGAGCAGTCCTCCCACCTCAGCCTCCCAAGCAGCTGACTACAGGCGTGTGCAACCACACCCAGCTTTTTTTTTTTTTTTTTTTCGTAGTAGAGATGGAGTTTCACCATGTTGTCCAGGATGATCTTAATCTCTTGACCTTGTGATCTGCCTGCCTCAAC